CATCGTAGCACTCTGGGAGGCCGAGGCGGGAGGATCGCTCAAGGTCGGGAGTTGGAGACCAGCCTGAGCAAGCGCGAGACCTCCATCTCTACTGAAAATAGAAATTAATTGGACAACTAAAAATATATAGTGAGAACATTAGCCGGGCGTGGTGGTGCATGAGTGTAGTCCCAGGTACTCGGGAGGGAGGCTGAGGCAGGAGGATCGCTTGAGGCCGGGAGTTGGAGGTTGCAGTGAGCGAGGCTGACTTCACGGCACTCTAGCCCGGGCAACAGAGTGAGACTCTGCTTCAAAATTAAAAAAAAAAAATTTTTCTCTAAGATCGCTTCCACCTGTAAAATAAAATAATTCTTCTCTGTAAAATAAAATTCACCTGTACAATAAAATGATTCTTTCTCTAAGATCGCTTCCACCTGTAAAATAAAATAAAATAAAATGAAGTGGTTCCAAGACCACATCGTCTACAAAAATGCCACTGATTGTGCTGGCCTGAAATGCCAGCGATCTCCAGATCCTGTAGGCTCCGGCCCTGGACTGCAAATATAACTTAAGAAGGTCTGAGAGAGACAAAAAAAAAACAAGGGCAGGGATTCATGAACAAAAGGGCATTCGGGGGCCAGGTGCCTGGCCCCGAACTTGGCTAGAGGGAAACTCACCTGCTCTTAGGCACTGAGGCCGGGCCCAACCAGGCTAGTCTCTCTGTAAGCTGACGACAGGCAGGCCGGGGTGGACAGGCATTGCAGACAAGGCAGGATCAGCCCAGGGGAAGAAAGCAGCGGAGAGAGGAAGAAGCGAGAAAGAGAGAGAGAGAAAAAAAAAAGGAGGACAAAACACCTACCCAAAGAAGAGATTTTGGGCACCCCGGTAAAGGCCCTAGGCATTCTTGCAGATTTGCATAAACTGGGTGAAGGTCCCCCAGTTTCCTTCTCCTGGCTTTGGTCTACTTTGAATGCCTTGTCTCCAGGACAAGGAAAACTCCGGGGTGTGGTGAGGAAACCACGCTGCCCTCTCTCCACCCCCATCCTCGCCCACCCAGCTCCCGTGGGGTTTTGTTTTGTTTTGTTTTGTTTTGAGACAGAGTCTCACTCTGTCGCCCAGGCTAGAGTGCCATGATATCAGCCTGGCTCACAGCAACCTCCAACTCCTGGGCTCAAGCGATCCTCCTGCCTCAGCCTCCCGAGTAGCTGGGACTACAGGCACGAGCCACCATGCCCGGCTGATTTTTTCTATATATTTTTAGTTGGCCAATTAATTTCTTTCTATTTTTAGTAGAGATGGGGGGGTTCACTCTTGCTCAGGCTGGCTTCAAA